CCATTCTGTTCTCAGACTTTATTCCCAACTCAGCAGCTAGCTCTGTTGGGTCCAGGTAGAGAGCAGGCTCTAAGTAAACATGGAAACAGCATTTTTCTGGAAAGCCTCTGTAACACATTGGCGCTTCAGGCCCCCTGTCTAGGAGTCCCCAACAGACCGCGTTATGAAGTGGCATTTGCCTGGTCTGGCAGGGAGACAGAACTCTGCTCTCAGGCAAATTTTTTTTGGGGGTGTAATGTGACCCCATTTGACACTGCAGGCTGGCAAGGCCTGGGAAATGTCAGCTTACACTTGTTTCCACTGTTTTTAAGGAGGTTTCTTTGCCTTCAGTTCACTCGGCTAAGTGCCTGCTGGGAATGATGGTTCTGCTTCTGTTTCGCTGTGGCCGAGATGTATTTTGGTGCTGGAAGCAGCTTTAGAGCCCTGGCTTCCTTGTGACACAAGACCCTTTTCTGCAAACGACTCCCACTAAGCAAGGCTGTTCCACTCCCACATTCTTAAACACCCTTTGGATGGTTCCAACTCACCCGACTGCAGATTGAGGTAGCTTAGCCATCATGGGAAACCGAAGCTGAAAGAGAAAGAAGGGGACCTTACCCGAGGCTCAAAGCTAAAATTCCCAGAAGATGAGGTGCGCATTTACCCAGAAGGCTGATACCTGGTGCCCTCTCCTCTGCCAAGGCCAGTCGTTCTCAAAATGTGGGGCCAGGTAGTGGGCAGCAGCAGCATCACCAGAGAGCTTGTTAGAGATACAGACCCTTGGGCTCCTCGCCTCAGACCTGTTGACTCCCAAGTTGTTTTACAAGCCCCGCTGTCAGCTGAAGCTGTTGAAAACCACTGTCTGGGGCCTCCGCCCTCTTGGCTGGGATATGAAGCTCTATAGAGGCAGGAATGACTAAAGTTTGAATTCCAACCCCAGCATCCATCTTGGTCCTTCCCCAAAGCCTTCCTACACGGGAGTGGACTCCAAATACACAAGAGACCAGGGAGCTAGAAACAGACACTGGTGTTTGTACAACTCTTAACTCCTGGTAAACGGTGCATCTCCAAATCAATAAATGGGAAAATCGGCTAGCTTTCTGAGAATAAGACATTGATAACTAAAAACATCAACACACACACATGAAAATCTAAGTAAATACTGATGCAAGTAGAAGGCCACTCACTTATCTTGGCAAAGCCTGCAGAAGTCTTGAGAGGGCGAAGCCTTCAGTAACCGGCCTACCACCACGCTCCACAGGCCTGGCACTGCCAAGTGTTGTGACAGTCTGAGGGGCAGAAGGCGCCAGGCCCCATTCTCCCATGAGGATGGCAGTCTAGGCAGATGCCTTCACAGTGGTTCCCTTCGTTCACCCATCCACCCACCCACCAATCCAACAAATGTTGTTAGGCACCTGCTGTGTGCCAGGTCTTCTGGGCCAGAACCCAGGTCTGGGGCGAAGTGCAGACCTAAGCGAAAGATTGGAGGGAGTGGCAGGACTTGTGGAGTAGCGGTCCTTGCAGGCCAGCTGGGTCCCAATTCCCCTGTGCAGTACCCTCTACTTGAGCTGAAGTTCCTGCTATGCTCCCCATGGCCACTAGGCAGATGAACAGTCCAGGGCCCTTGTCCCCTCAGTGAGGAGGGTGGCCAAGTGGGGAAGCATTGCTTTCTGTTCAAGAATGGGGTCCTCAAGGTGGCCAAGTGGCTGTCCCCCTGCTTTATTCTCATTATGGAAATGATATACCCTCCCCCCCGCCCCCAATAAAGAGCTTATAAAAAGCCAGGCCATTCAGAAGAGTAAAAATTACCACTGTTAATATTTTGGTGAGCAACTTTTCTCTCTACACGCCCTCCCCTCTCAATACACTATAGATCCTGAGCCCAGGGGGATGAAATGAGACCAGGAGCCTCCAAATTTACCCTTCAGGCAACAGTGTCCTCCTGCCTGGGAGGGGCAGGGACTGTTGGTATCACTGATGCAGGAACACGGTCTCTCTGGGACATCTTCAAAGCATGTTGACAGTTGTGTCCCTACTCCATATACCCACCTGGGCCTAGGAGCCATCTAAGTCACTGAATCCTTTGTGGGATGGTGGAATTACGCTGTGATAACACCAAAGTTCCATCTTCCACAGCTTCAGGCCATAGGAACCCAGCCTTAGGCCCTCACCCTTGCCTGGGGCGGGGAGGGGGGGACACTTCGCCTCCTCGGGGTTCTAACTCCCCTCTTATCCTATCCTCTCTACAGTGAACAAGTGAACAGAACAGGGGCCCGGCCACCCACTACAACCACTGTGGGATTTTGTTCCCTCCCTCCTTCCTCTCCTGTCAACAGAGAACAGGAGTCTGGCTGAGGAAAGCCGTCCTGGGGCTGGGAAGAACAAGAGAAAGAGCACAGCTTTCTAAAGGCCACTGGTGCTTGTCCTAGCTTTGGTGGTGCTTTGCGAAGCTGTACAAATTGAGTCCTTGCCTCACGGCAACCGAGGACTGAACCCATGGACTAGAGCCCCTAGCAGGGTCTGGTCAGAGCTTGAGTCCCTGAGCATATCCCACCAGCTTGCTTCTTTGAACCCTGAAACTACATAGGGGCTATGGCTGTTGCACTGAGGGACAAGTGGCTGCTAGAGCCTCTTGGGGACTCCCTCCTGGCCTCCATAAAGGGCCCACAGGCTACCGTCCTCTCTGCCCAGAGGCCTCTGCCAGAGTGGGAGCATAGGCCTCAGTGAACCCCATGTCTGCCACTCTGAGCTGGAGAGCCCGGCTGGGACTCTGGGAGCCTCCCACGGATAGGGTGGGCTGGGGAGCTCGGAGCAGCTCCAAGCTGTAGGAGGAGAAGCAGCAGTTTCTTAAGAAGAGCAAGGGGGCCTAGACCACAGCCTCGGCTTCCCCTTCTGGAGAAAAACCACAGCTCAGCTGTGCTGGCTGATAATTCTACAGCTTCTGTCCCTGGAGCCTGCCCCAAGGCCCAAAGTTTTGAGCAGGTGGGCTCTGGAGCTCTGGATGGAAAAAGTGGACCGGGAGAGGTTGAAGGTTGAA